AATAATTACACTTGCAGGGTTAAGGGTGGTGGGAGTTGGCACCCCGACCACTCCAATGGGCAGAAGTGGTCTGGGTGCCTTGAGTGTCCCTTTAAGAAACATACCTCTAAGCACTGTCTAACTGGCACAACTTTATAACCATTCACGGAGTATCTGGATACACTCACTTTATGCTAAGCGTAGAGAATCCAGCATTCACAAAGTAATTTATTAATTTTTTAAACACCTGACTTAAGCAAAAATAATGAGAGTTTAGTTACCATATGTAATCATACATTTAATGAATCTTCCACAACACCAATGTACCCCGACTTTGTCAGGTCCTACCTATCCTGGGAATGTAATGCCTGCTCTTATGAGAATATTCCACTTACTTTATCCTTCCTATTGGGGCTCTCTGCAGTGCAACATTAAACAGGACCCTGAAATTGGGCACATGTGAAAAGGAGGGGTGCAAAACCAAGATGTTGGCCAGGACTCCCCAATATATTTTTATATAAAGCCAGGAAGGCTGCATTTACCTAAACATGCATACATTTTAATCAGAGGCGGCTCTCTAATTAGGCGATTTAGGCGGCCGCCTAAGGCCTCGCGCTGTGTGGGGCCTCGCGGCCGCCTAAATCGCCTTGGGGCAGACTGAACTGTCGGGTCCTCGTTCAATGACTGAGGTCCCGACAGTGAGAGGGGGCCCGGCGGCTTGCCCAGTATGCCGCCGGGTGGCCCCTCCACACGGTCTGCCCACAGGGAGAGCCAGCCTCTGATCTGCAGCTCCGCCGAGTGCAGAGCTGCAGATCACATAATGTGGTTCTCGCGAGCACACAGAGCGTTGCCGCAGGTTACCACGGCAACGCTCTGACAGGCGCTCGCAAGAACGAGGTCTGCAGCTCTCGCGGAGCTGCAGACGGAAGTGATCCCACCGGACCACCAGGGACTGCTGCCACCGGACCACCAGGGAATTCTATTAAATAAAAAGGTATTTCAGTGTGTGGAGGCTTGTCACAGCCTCCACACACACTGCCCCATCACTGCCCTCCTCCCATCACTGCCCCATCACTGCCCTCCCCCATCACTGCCCTTCCCCCATCACTGCCCTCCCCCCATCACTGCCCACCCACCCTCACTGCCCCAACACTGCCCTCCAACCCTCACTGCCCCAACACTGCCCACCCACATACACTGCCCTCCCACCCTCATTGCCCTCCCACACTGTAACACACCCTGTCCCCCCACACTGTCACCATCCTCCACACTGCCACCCCACACTGTCATCTTCCTCCTCACTATCACCCACTCACACCCTGCCCCCGAAACTGTCACATTCCTCCACACTGCTCCCTCACCCTGTTACCCTTTCACACACTTGCACCCCATTTTGTCAGCCCCCAACACTATGTCACCAATACATACAGTCACCCCTCCCACACACTGTCAATGTTTCCAACACTGCCTCCCACACTCTCACCTACCCACCGTCACAATTCCACACACATACTGTCACCCCCCACATGCTGTCATGCCTTCTTCACCCAGCCTCGCTCACATTAACCTCTCCTAATCTTGTCGCTCTCACCCCCTCCATCCATACCACAATTACCAGCCCTCGCTCTTCCACACTCACCCTATCATATACTGTCACACTCACCCCCAACCCTTTCACATTAACCCTTTCACTTGTGCCCAACCATGTCACACTCACCCTGTCACATAATCCTGTCCGACTCACTTTCCCTCGCCTTGTCACACTTCCTCCTCCAGCCGTGTAACACATAACCCCAACCCTGTCAAACTTATCCCCCTTCACCCTATCACATTAACTTCTATCCTGTCACTCATCCTGCCAAGCCATGCCACACTCACCCTGTCACATAACCCTCCCTCATCCTGTCACTCTTACCTCCCCTTGTCCTGTCACTTTTTCTCCTTCAACAGTGCCACACTCACCCCAACACTGAATACAGAGACTAGCTCTCTGTATCCAGCACCGCAAGCCTGTCATTCAATATAACAACAGCTCATTATACACACAATGCAACCCCTATATGTTTTTTACTATGAGTATTAGTGGGGGGGCCTCTTGTTTGAGTTTCGCCTAAGGCCTCATAAAGTCTAGAGCCGCCACTGGACCATCTAACCTGTCTAGACAAGAGGTGTTTAGCCTCACTTATATAGGCCAAATTCTTGTGGTCCTTTATAATCATAACTGGAACCTTAGCTCCCTCTAACAAGGTTTAGGTTTAAAAATAATATCCGGAAGTATTACTTTACTGAGAGGGTAGTGGATGCATGGAATAGGCTTCCAGCTGAAGTGGTAGAGGTTAACACAGTAAAGGAGTTTAAGCATGTGGGGGATATGCATAAGGCTATCCTAACTATAAGATAAGGCCAGGGACTAATAAAAGTATTTGGAAAAAATTGGGCAGACTAGATGGGCCGAATGGTTCTTATCTGCCATCACATTATATGTTTCTATAAGTGTCTCCACTCTTTCAAAGCCAGGATTATCGCTAATAATTCCCTGTTCCCTATATCATAATTAACCTTTGCCGGGGATAGGTTTTTGGAGCAGAAACCACAAGGATGGAGTGGAGTGTCTTGGGACTCACGTTGAGAGAGGACAGCTCCAACACCTTTCTTCGAAGCATCAACCTCTAATACAAAAGGCTTGGAAGGGTCAGGATGCATGAGCACCGGGGCAGTTGAAAAGTTGAAAAGAGACTTCAGTTGCTCAAAGGCAGACAGAGCTGCAGCACACCCGACATGGGTTTCAGCCCCTTTACATGTGAGACTAGTAATGGGGAATATGACCGAGGAGAATCTCTTTATAAACCGGCGATAAGAGTTGGCAAAGCCGATGAACCTTTGAATGGCTTTAAGGCCTTTAGTTCTGGACCATTGCAAGACCCCCTCAATTTTTTTGGGATCCATTTCAAAACCCTTGGCTGAAATAATATAGCCCAAGAATTGTACCTCTGTCTGGTGAAATAAACATTTCTCTAATTTACAATATAAATCATTACGTAACAGTGTTGTAAGTACTTGAGATACATGAACGTAGTGGGTAGTAATGTCTGGGGAATAAACGAGGATGTTGTCTAGATAGACTAGAACACAAGTATGTATGTATATATATATATATATATATATTCCCTTAAGACACTATTAATTAGGTCTTGGAAAACCTCCGGAGCTTTGCACAATCCAAAAGGCATTACGAGATATTCGTAATGTCCACTCTTTGTATTAAATGCAGTTTTCCATTCATGGTTTTCTTTTATTCTGACCAGATTATATGCACTCCTGAGGTCCAATTTGGTAAATACAGTGGCACCCTTAAGTCTATCGAATAGTTCCGTGGTAAGAGAAATCGGATAGACGTTCCTTATAGTGATCTTGTTAAGGCCTCTATAGTCGATGCACGGTCGTTGGTCTCCCTCTTTCTTAGACACAAAGAAGAAACCTGCACCTGCAGGAGAGGAAGACCTACATATAAAACCCTTGGCAAAAGCATCCTGGATATACTCTTCCATGATTTCACTCTCATGGGGGGACAGAGGATACACCCTTCCTTTAGGTGGCATAGTACCTGGAAGAAGGTCAATGGCCACTTCCATCTTATATACAGTACTAAAGAAATATCAACATTTAGTTAAATGTTTTATCAGGAAGAAATGTTTACTAAGGAATTCTCACAAAACATGATGGTTAATCCCCAAACTGAGGGGAAGGGGAGAACAGGCTTGATTCTTATGCAAAGATGTATGGTAAAGAGATGTGGGTTGAGTGTGTCACTAGTGAATAAATGTCTGATATCTGACCTTTTCTAGCTGGCAAATTCGTGCAATCTTGTTCAAAATGGGTAATTGGTGATGTGCCTACTTGTTGAATGATGGGAGAGAATGCTAGGCTGCAAAATTGCATGTAGCAAAAATAATATAAAATAATAAGGTATTGAGTGAGGACTTATTAGGGATGTCAGAGTATGCTATGCATATAAGTTCCCTAAAACCCACATCTCTTTTAAATGCAGGTTTGAAAATATACATCACATTAATGGCTACCCGCTACCAGATTAAATTTTGTGCTCCCTTTGATCGTGTCTGCTGAACAAGATGGGTTTGACATTAAAGGAACACTATAGGGTCAGAAAACACAAACATGTATTCCTGACCCTTTAGTGCTAAAACCACCATCTAAACCCCTTTGCCTCCCCCTAAATATATTAAAATCTTACTTTTGTTCAACTCTGCAGCTTCTGGCTCTACCTCTGATCTGCCTGCTTGGCTGACATCATCAGAAGTGTTATTCTGAGCTAAGCAGAATGCTTTCCTATAGGATTGGCTAAGACTGTCAAGGAGGCAGATCAGGAGCAGAGCCAAACACAGCACTGGACAATCAGCATCTCCTTGGTATTGAATCAATGCATCTCTATGAGGAAAGTTCAGTGTCTCCCTAAGGTTGGAGACACTGAATAGTAGTGATGCACACTGTGCAGAACTGCCCCAGGAAGCATCTCTAGCAGCCATCATGAGGAGTGGCCAGTATAGGTATACTTGGGCTGTAATGTATACACTATATTTTCTCTGAAAAGACAGTGTTTACTGCAAAAAGCCTGAAGTGAATGATTATACTTACCAGAACAAATGCAATAAGCTGTAGTTGTTCTAGTGACATAGTGTCCCTTTAAAAGCTCTTCATACTCTTTGAGAGAGAATAATCTCAAAAATGAAACCTACACCCATCCAAAAAACATTTGACAAAAAAGGATTCTAGGCTATGTTATTGTCACATATTCATCCGCTTATAAAAATGTGGTTAAAGGGACACTATAGTCATCTGAACAACTTTAGCTCAATGAAGCAGTTTTGGTGTAAAGAACATGCCCCTGCAGCCTCACTGCTCAATCCTCTGCCATTTAAGAGTTAAATCCCTTTTTTTGTTAACCCTAGTCACATCTCCCTGCATTTGACTTGCACAGCCTTCCATAAACACTTCATGTAAAGAGAGCCCTATTTAGGCTTTCTTTATTGCAAGTTCTGTTTAATTAAGAGTTTCTTATCCCCTGCTATGTTAATAGCTTGCTAGACCCTGCAAGAGCCTCCTGTATGTGATTAAAGTTCAATTTAGAGATTGAGATACAATTATTTAAGGTAAATTACATCTGTTTGAAAGTGAAACCAGTTTTTTTTTTTCATGCAGGCTCTGTCAGTCATAGCCAGGGGAGGTGTGGCTAGGGCTGCATAAACAGAAACAAAGTGATTTAACTCCTAAATGACAGTGAATTGAGCAGTGAAATTGCAGGGGAATGATCTATACACTAAAACTGCTTTATTTAGCTAAAGTAATTTAGGTGACTATATTGTTCCTTTAATAGCATTTACTGTCCACACAGGAAAAGTTGTGCCGAGCAGCAACCAAATCCACAGAAGGGTTAATGCTGAGCAGCAATTATGCAAATTGGAACCTGGTAACTGCCTTTGGGGTCAAAGGCCGGTTACAGCCTATCAGATCTAGACGAGGGGTATTTAGGCCCAGTTCTCATCCTGCTCAGTGCCCTGTCGTGGTTTCCCTTGTGGTTCTCCGGGAGCGCATTATTGATTCTGGTTATTCTGGTTATTTGACTTTGGCATTGTTTTTGACTTCCCTGTTTTCTGGCATCCCTGACTCCTGGCTTTTCCTTATCGTTGTGTCTCTTTCTGTATCCCTTGACCTCGGCTATTCCTGACTATTCTTTGGTACGTTAGTCCGGCCATTCTAAGGTCCGGTATATGTTACCTATCAGTCCTCTGTGTTATACAATTCGCCGTGCTGGATCATTCTGTAATCCTGACATTAAGAAATGGCCATAGATCCTGTAGAATTGTGTAAGCACATAGCTGCTTGTGAAAGAAAACTGGAGGATAATGATCACCGCGTGGATCAATTTGCCCAGGCCTTCAGTACGCTTCTTACCCGAACAGCGCATCTGCAACCTGCGGCCTCACCTCCACCTTGTGTACCTCCAGCTATAGTACACATGGCACCTACTATCTCCCTATCTCCTCCCCTGCATTTTGATGGTAATATTCAAGAATGCCAGGGATTTATTAACCAAATGGAGTATCATTTTGAGGCCTCACCAGGATCTTTTCCCACAGACAGAGCTAAAATTGGTTAGCTAATGAATCAATTAAAAGGTAAAGCTTTAGCTTGTGCCAGTCCATTATGGGAGAGTAATAGGAGTGTGGCACACAATTACCAGGAGTTCATTGCGGAATTCAAACTTACCTTTGAACCTTTAGGCAGAGAGGATGACGCCTCTACTGCCCTGATGCATATCATTCAAGGGAACCAGTCTATCTCGGAATATGCCATAGAATTTCGTACCCTAGCTTCCGAGGTAGACTGAACTAATAGTGGGTTAATCTCTGCATTTAAAAATGGATTATCTGAAACTGTGCTAGATGAGATTGCCGCCAAAGACACCCAAAAAGCTAAATGAATTTATCACTTTTGTCATGCAGATTGATAATAGATTAAGAACCAGAGAAGCTACTAGAAACAAGACCAGACGCATGAGTATGCATTTAGCACCCCGTTTCTCCAGACCTATTGTCCCTGAAATTCCATGCAGTTGGGGGTCACTAGACTGTCGGAAGCAGAAAGACAATCTAGAAGAAAAGAAGACCTATGTCTATACTGCGGTAGGAAGGGACATATGAGAATCAATTGTCCCATACGAAAACCACCACACCTAAGCACCTTAAGGGGACAGGTCTTAGGTGTAATGGAAACGTCCTCTGAAAAAGAATAAAAATAGGTTTCTCCTTGACATTTCTATCGCCTCTGACAAAAATACCTTTTCATGCAAAGCCCTGATGGATTCAGGTGCTGCTGGAAACTTCATAGAAGTTCAATTTGTCAAAGGTAATACTATACCTATCAAAGAGAGACTATCACCCCTAGCTGTTGAAGCTATTGATGGGAGACCACTCTCACAACCATTGATAACTCATGAAACCTTACCAATTAATATTTCCATTGTTGCATTACATAAGGAAGAGATTACATTTCAGGTGATTGCATCTCCTTCTTGCCCTATTATATTAGGATTCCCATGGCTTAGCAAGCATAACCCTCATATTGACTGGGCTAATGGGGAAATATTAGAATGGGGTAAGGATTGTAATGAAAGGTGCATATTGCATGTCACCAAAAGAGGGGGCACTATTGAATTACCTCAAAATCCCGAGATCCCTCGACAATACCAAGACATTAAAGAAGTATTCAGCATGACTCAGTCTAATACTCTACCTTCTCACAGACCATATGACTGTTCCATTAACTTACTACCAGGTGCTATGCCACCTAAGGTAGCAGTCTATGCTCTATCTCCTCAGGAGAGTAGTGTAATGGAGGAATATATTAAAGATTCATTGAATAAAGGCCATATACGAAAATCATCCTCGTCTGCTGGTGCAGGATTCTTTTTTGTATTTAAAAAGGATGGTGAGTTGCTCCCATGTATCGATTACAGGGCATTGAACAAAATCACCATTAAGTACGCCTACCCTATTCCTCTTATTGCTGAATTATTTGATAGACTTGAAGGCGCTAAAGATGATGCCATTCGGGTTGTGCAATGCTCCAGCGGTTTTCCAAGATTTCATTAATGATGTACTCAGGGATTACATTTACTCGTTTGTCTTGGTCTATCTGGATGATATCCTTATTTATTCTCCTGACCTCCAGTCTCACCACGATCACGTTAAACAAGTTCTGCAAACCTTGTTAAAAAAACAACTTTATTGTAAATTGGAAAAATGTATCTTTGACCAGTCTGAAGTACAGTTTTTAGGATATAATATTTCTGCCTCGGGGTTTCAGATGGATCCTAAAAAACTAGAGTCTGTTCTACAGTGGCCTTTACCCACTTGGTTGAAAGCCATTCAAAGGTTCATTGGTTTCGCCAATTATTACAGAAGATTTATAAAGGGATTTTCTTCAGTAATAGCCCCCATCACCAATATGACACAAAAGGGGGCTAGTCAGGGCCGGATTAACATAGGGGCTGATGGAGCTGCAGCTCCAGGCCCAGGCCCATGGAATAGGCCCATTTAAAAAAAAAAAAAAATGTTAACTTTTTTTTTTTCCGTTACACACACTACTCTTGGTATTTTAAGGCACAGCCGATATTTGAGGCTGCCTGGCCGTGCCGGTATTGCTGTAATACCAGCAATACAAATGCAAATATTTTTCTCTGTATAAAAGGAGATTACTCTGCAATACCAGCACCGGCCAGTAGGGGTCACTGTGTATGGAGAGAGGCAGGGATAGAAAGTTACATCATCTCCCTGCCTCTCTACTCACTGATCCGCGGGGGAGCAGCTACACAGCACAGAGAGTCCAGACAGCAGCACCCAGCCTGCAGAGACAGACTACAGCTCAGGAAAGTGACGGATGGGGGAAAGGGAGACATGGGGACACTGAGACACTAGGGGACACTGAGACACTAGGGGACACATGTCTATGTCCACAAGTGCCCTCATGTCTCCCAGTGTCCCCAAGTGTCTGTGTCCCCATGCATCCCAGCCAGTGTCCCTAGTGTCTGTGTCACCATGTCTCCCAGTGTCCTCTAGTCTCTCAGTGTCTTAGTTTCCCCAAATGTCTGTGTCCCCATGTCCCCTAGTGTCTGTGTCCCCATGTCTCTGTGTCCCTAGTGTCTGTGATCCCATTTCTCCCAGTGTCCCCAAATGTCTCAGTGTCCCCATGTCTCCCAGTGTCCCCATGTCTGTATCCACAATTGCTCTCAGTGCCCCCATGTCTCCTAGTGTCCCCAAGTGTCTGTGTCCCCGGGTCTCTCAGTGACCCCATGTCTTACTGTGTCCCCATGTCTCTCAGTGTCCCCTAATATCCTAGTGACATGGGACACACTGAGACATAGGGACACTGGGAGAAATGGGGACACAGACACTGGGAGACTAAGGGACTGGGCGACATGGGGACACTGACACTGTGGTACATAGGGACACTGATGCCAGGCTGGCCACTTTTGGCAGTTCTGGTCACGTGATTCACCTCAGTGCCCCACCCTTTTACCCAGCCCATTGACTTACTTCTTCACTGGACACTGCTGTTAGGGGGGTATGGATTTATTGAAAGATGAAAGCATAAATTAGAGAGAGATAAGCATAGAGTATGTGTTTTCTTATAGCTGCATCCTTTGAGTTATGAGGTATGACTGTTTTAGTGTTTTTGGTCGATAAATTCTGTAATTAGGCCCCATCGTAATTGTCAGCACCAGGCCCACTGGGCTCTTAATCTGGCCCTGGGGCTAGTAGTAGTACGATATGGTCTAAGGAGGCAATTGAAGCCTTTGAAACTCTCAAACAGCGGTTTGCATCCGCCAACATATTGATACATTCTGACACCAGTAAGCATTTCATACTGGAGGTTGATGCTTCAGAGACAGGAGTAGGGGCAGTTCTCTCCCAGAGGGAGAGCCCGGAAACTCCGTTACATCCTTGTGGTTACTTTTCTAGAAAGTTGTCTCCTGCTGAGCGCAATTACGATATTGGCAATAGAGAATTGTTGGCCATTATTCTAGCTCTCAAGGATCACAAAATCACAAAAACCTAGCTTACATAGGAGATGCTAAGCGATTATCTTCTAGACAAGCTAGGTGCTTTCTCGCTTTAATTTTCTTATCACCTACAGACCTGGTTCTAAAAATGTCAGGCAGTTTGATACTGAGGCTATACTAGAGCAAGAAACGTCCCATATCATTCCCCCGGAATGTATCATTGCGTCTACTGTCCTTTCATTGTCCTCTCCACTGCTTGGCTCCATCATGGAGGCTCCGTCTCAGGCGCCCTGCGGTAAACCTCAGGACAAACTGTTTGTTCCATTGGGGGAAAGGGTTAATATGATGAAGGTGTTTCACGACAATGTGTCAGCTGGTCACCCAGGTATTAATAAATCCACTTCTGCTATCATGACGTCGTTCTGGTGGGATTCCCTCAGGAAGGATGTTAAGGAATATGTGCAGGCTTGTTCTGTTTGTGCGGTTTCCAAAGTGCCTCATAAACTCCCTTGTCCCACTTGTCCATGGACTTCATTGTTGAGCTTCCTAGTTCTAATGGTTCTAACGGTTATACCACCTGTTACGGTTGCCTCCAGGCTGGCTGGAAGTTGGACCGTAGAAAGGATGCTCGTAACGCTCACCAAAGGACCATCAGCACCGTAGACACCATAACTACTGCGTAGACACCATAAGTACTGCAGACTCCACGAACCGCCGCTGCTGGGCTCGGATCTCGCCGTCTGCTATTCACC